CGTGTGGAAGCATCTGAGATCACTTAACATGCTAATTTTCTCCTCTTATGCTTAGGTTTTAAAATACTATTTATGCTTCCTATTTGTCAACAGCTTATCCAGGAAAGGGCAGCTCAAAGAAGATAGTTCACTTTCACTTGAGTTCTTTACTTTGTGCAGATGTGCAAAATGGAGCACCAAAATAATGTATTTTGGTCAAGCTCAGAAAGAATTTGTATGTCATCAAGTATTACCAGACAAAAATCTTCACAGCTATAACTAGACCTTGAAAGCTACAGCACTGACCATGTGACTTGGCCAAATATGATCTAACTTCTTGTGAAGCACCTGGAAAGCCAAGGACAAATCATGTGTCTTAACTTAGAAGCACACACATTTAAATAGATGTCTTGAGAAAAGAAGAGAGGAAACAAAAGTCACAGCCTGTGTTTCAGAGTACATTTATTTTTTGCAGCATAAGTGGAAGTAAGTAACAAGAATTCCTTATTCAACCTGTAAGGGCAGAATAAATACCACCAATACATACTGAACAGGTCACTGTGGAAAAGGATGTGTTCAGAGGATGAGAAACTGAGGACTGCTTCTTCTGGAGTCCAGCTACTTGGTGAAGATTGCATTAAAGCCTGTAAAAATTTTTGCAATCTTGAAAATGAACACAATTAATTAAATCTGGTGTACAACTCCCTTATATTTTTTCTAGTTCACTAATCTGGTTTCACTGCTGAGGGAGCACTGTCCTCTTAAATTCATATCTACTGCTATCTGGGCTTAATTTCTCTCAGTTGTAACATGTGTATGATCAGTCTAGGCTGAAGTAAGATTCTTGCCTTATTTCTTTTTGAATTTTCCAGCAATGGAAGAACAGCTCCACCAACAAGAATTTTGTAGAGCTAAGCCTTCTCCAAGCTCTAGCCATATAACTGGACCCATGGAAGAGCAGTAGGAGAAACCATGGTCTAAGATGGAGACTTGGCAAAGTGTCTTCTATTTTTCAGCTGTTGTACTGACACAGGATTCCTGATGGAGCCATTGGCAGGTTGTTTCTCACACTCAGTCTGTATGTCACTTAGGAAGCAGAGGGGAACAAGTCTCACTTTTCAATCAATTCAGACAGATTTGACAGCAAAAAGTAAACAGCATTTGGCAAAAGTCACTCTCAATGAGAGTGTTGTTAAGAAAGTCACTCACAGAGAATATGCATACAACTTCCCTCCCTCTCATTTTTTCCCCAACCACTACAATGTGGAAAATGATAATTTAGGTTTGTTTTCCTAGAATTATGATCCCCATTGCTACCACATCATAGATTTACCAGAAGAGTTATTTCAACTTCCAGCTAAATGAGGCAGGATTTTTGGACATCTGCCCTGCTTGATTGATGCAAATATATTCTGGAAATAGACCACCAAACCACGATGTTAAAATACACTAAGTAATGTCCCATACATACAAAAGAAAGGAGAAACACAAAAGAGATCTGGAACTTCAGAACTGGAAACCCACTGCCACCCAGGTGTGAATATCCTGTTAAATAAGTGGGAGGTCATCTTGGCACATCATCTTGTCATCAATGCAAAATACCTTGCTTAGAATGCTCTTAGTATAAGATGAAGAGTAGGGTTTGAATGCCCATGGATGAGCAGAAAGAGTGCTTCAGCTAAACTTGTAGTTAAAACTAGGGATATACTCCCCACCTTGTGACATCAACACCCTCTTTTCCCTGGAGGGGCTAAAGCATCATCTTGTGGGAACTGACCAAAACTGTTTAAGTCACAATTGTATGATCCAGTTGCTGAACATAAACAAATACCTATAGCATTTTTTTGACATGGGGCAGAAAATATCCTCTTTCCTCCAGGGAGAAAAGATTATCTGGAAAGGACTTGGTCCAGCGAAGCCACACACAGCTTGGTTTAGCAGCTGCTAGATGAGCTGAGTGTCTCCACTGTGTCCAGTCTTCTCCTTTTGCAGAGGTGTTCTAGACACTCCCAAACTGAGCAGGCAAAGGCAGCAGTGAAAGGTAACAACATGCTAGTGCACCTATGAACATTGTGGTTGTCTATCTTCATGCCAGTAAGTGGGAAGTGTTTGAAGTACATTGAAGTTCCTGGGAGACATACATGTCTTTTTTCCTCTGCTGCTTTCTTTCTTTCTTGACAAGAACCAGTTTGGTCCTAGCTGGGAAACCCTTCAAGACCATCAACGCTTGATCTTCAAAAGAAGCCTGCTATGTAGAAGGAAGTACTGTGGGTCCTGCAAGTACTCACAACTAAGCAGCAACCACGTAAAGCTGTGCCAACTGCATTCTGGAAACTAGCATTCTAATGACAACTTTCCATAAAGACAGCTCTGAAATGTGTAGAAGACAAGGACCTATTTCAGTGCATTTGCTTTTGAAGGTAGGTCAGAGAACAGTAACTGCTCTTGCAATTGCATGAGAAGAGTGAGTCTAGTCTTTCCTCTAAATCTGAGCAGCGAGGCATGCTGTCATACAAGAGAGACAACAGAAACTCTTCTGATGCAGATTTCAGCCCAATTTTCTGTGCTCTTTTTTAAGAGGGTAAAGATAGTAAATAGCATTTACTGTTTCAGGAGGCTAATTCTCTTGTGGATCAAGAGAACAAACACAGGCTGGGTATCTGTACAAACAACCCTGCAAGCCAACCGCAGTGGCCTCAACAAAGTGTCCTTCCACCCTCTGGTGATGCTCTAGTGAAACTGCTCCCAGCATTAACAGTTTTCTTGTATGGTCACTAACACAAATACTTTCTTAAAATGTGGTCCAAACCTGAAAAAGACCAGTTTTTGTGGTTGCCCATCTGATTCTGTTGAACACATCATACTTGCAACACCTGGTGATTATGCCTTAAATCAGGACTTTGCCATCTACTTGGGGGAGAGGAGGTGTTTTAACGTAGTTTGCATTTTTTACTATTTTTTTTTCACAAAGACAGATACAAGAAAAGTTTAAAATTAGGCAAGTGACAAATATTCAATTACTGGCATACTATAGACACAATGACACTTGAAGCTGCTCTAGTGCCCAAGGGCTCTGAGCAGAATCTGAGCAACCATGAGTTACTGAGATCATTATTTTCATTACACCCACAAGTGATTTTAAATAAGCAGCACAAATGAAGCAAAGAAAGTCAATAAACCAAGCAGCTAGTCACTTCTGCCTGGTGGCATAATCTTATGTGTCCTCACAGCTCAAGAGGCAGGGTAAAGGACACTGCAATGTAAACAACAAGTGGCATTTTCCCATGAAGATTTTCCAGAAAGATTAGCCTGCTTTGAGACTGCAAGAAAATAGATATTGTAAAGCAAGAGCTGTCAAACGGTGTCATTTCAACACACAAACAAAATCTGAATTGATAAGCAGTAATTTTCATTTAAAGATCAATAATACCTTTTGTTTGTTTCAGCCCAGCACTGTTTTTTTTCAAAAATTTTCCTCTCCATTTCAGGATGGTAGAAGAATGACAATCTTGTCAGCTGAAGACATGGGGTAATATTTTGTCCCTCTCTTTTCTTGTCCACTCTTTTCTCTACCTGGTTGCAGCATCTGTTACCACTTCCATTATAGCTAGGCCATAGGAAGTGGCCCCTTATTTGAGGACCAGGTAGGTGCATGTGTAGAGATATCCATCAGAATTGCTGGTGTCACAACATTTCAAGTGCAGGGACAGAGAATGATGTTGAAAGCAGTAAGGGAAAAATATAGTTCTGATGGACTTTGAAGGGTTGATTCAAAATCCATTGAAGCAGATGTTTTTCCAGTCCCAATTTTGTGTGACTTCTATTTGCTGCTCTTATTTTTCCCTTACCAGGGACTTTATGAATTGAAACAACATTTTATAATAATTTTACTTTGATCCCTTCCCTCACAAGCCTTTGAGACCACTTAGGGGAGGATGAGAGAGACTGCAGTACAGAGCTGGGGAGACACCTCAGAGTTCTGAGAGAGGCCAAACCTGAAGGGTAGCTTCTCCACCCAGCTGTGTCCTCCATTCCCCAGACAGCTTATTTCTGGTCAGAGCTGACAGCTTGACATTTGCTTGTTGCTCTCCCTGTCACAAAGTTCACCTGCTATCCATATCAAAGGAGCCCACACATGGCAACATTTGCTGTGGGTGGCCATGTGCCCTTCCAGAGCCTCCTCTTGTAGGCATCACTGAGGTTCAGCCAAGCTGGCAGCGAAAACCAGGAGGGGAGGCTGGCATGGATTTTATGACATGTTGCAAATGCAGATTGTAAAAAGTGAAGCCTCATGTTTTTGTGGGAAATCTTCCTATTCTCTAAAGGTTGCTTACATCTCTCAAGAACTGCAAGTTCTTGTGCTCCAAGGAAAGCCCATTCCAAAATACCTAAAATGCAGCAGACCCTGCATGAATTAAGGCACTGCACAGATCTTCCTGAGGATTGCTGCATGGATCTTACTTAAAGTAAAACACTCTCCACAGCTGCTGAAAGGCTGATATTGAGAGCAATACACTCTAAACATGAATAGAAATGACCAGAGGTACAATCTCCAGCTTTTTGTCTGGTGTAAATACTTAGAGCTTTCCAGCCATGAAGTTAATTTTAGCAGTGTGCAGCTGGAATGATTTTTCCAGGAGAAGCAAGCATTGTCATCGGGCTAGAGAAAGAGGTAACTAACCATTCAATGCAGTATTCTCTCTGAGCTCACATGAAAACTGGAATAGTCTCCCTCAAAAGATCTCTGCCTGGAGTTTTTTGTTTGGTGTTTTTATTTTGTTTTGTTTGGTTGTTTTGGTTTTGGTTTTGGTTTGTTTTTTTTCTTTTTCAGGAGGCACTGAAATGAACAAGTAACAGTTGTACTACTCTGTAAAACCCCTCTTCCTCATAGAGTCTTCCTCCTGCACCATGCCTCCCACAGTTATAAGGATGTCTCAGAGGGAATATAAGTTGCAGTGTTACAGGCATCACTACAGAGATGTGCTTGGTAATTGCAGCCTGAGCCTCAGACTAAGCCTCAGACCTAATTATCCACAAAGGTTACTATGGCTTTAGGCAAGACATTCCTGCATGCTTTCATGGCCAGGGATAAATATTGCATGTGCTCCACACCACACCAACTAATCTTAGTGACTTCATAGAACTGGTTAGACATTACATGAAAAAAAAGAAGTGATGCTGAATTAACACAGAAATTAATGTAGAGAATTTGTCCCAAAGAGATATCAACATGATTGTTTCAAGGCAAAGGAAAAACTGAGTGTCTAAACAAAGACAAAAGGGACAAAACTCTCCTGTCTCAGAAATTTGTTGCAAGCTGAGATGGTTACCTTCCTAACATAGTTATCTTCCTCCTGTCTCAAGCAGAGAGAGTTTAGAAATGTCAGCCCATCTTAAATGGGCCCAAAGAATGTTTTGGCCGTACATGTTTCAGAGGAAACATCCCTGGGGCCAGAGGTGGAGGGAAGCCAGGGAAGGGGCAGAGCAGCTGCCTGTGTAGGGGTTTGCTGGTGTGCATGGGGCACACGGACCATGAAGGATGTACTGTGCCCCATGGAGAGGGACTGTAGGCTCTTTGGGCTTTGCCTTTGCCAAGTGCTGCTGTTCAGCCACAAGCTCCACGCAAGGACACAGCAGCTCTTGTCACACGTGGTTTGCATGCATAATGTATGACTGGTCTGTGAACACCCGGTCCATTTTTCACTGCTTGAGAGAGATAGAAGATGGTCATATAATCTTTGTGGGTTTTAAGAGAATTCCTGTTGCTCGTTTCCCTCACAATCTGTGGCTGCCACTTTCATGGGAAGAAGGTCTTTTTTCATGCAGCCCAGAAGAAACAACTTGCATGTTTGAATTGGAGTAACTCCATGACAATTTAATAATCCGTACAGCCAAACATTATATCTGCTGCCTTTCCTCTTCACATCTTGTCTATTTCCTTTCATTACAGCTTCCATCAATGCAGTACCACAGACTTTGTTAAAACTCCTTGTATGGAGAAGGTGAGATTTTCAGTGACAAACGGGATGTTTTGTGGCCTGAATGTCATGTTACTCATCTGTCCTTATTCTTGATTTAGCCAGCATTTGGAAATGTTCTTTGTCATGATCAGAACAGATCTTCTAGGTAAGCATGTTCACAGCAGTGGTCTGTGTCAGTCCACGTGTGCAGGGGCCTGGGGAGGAGGGCAAAGCTGGGACACCCTGAGTAGGGAAACCCCAACAATAACTTCACCTTCCTCTATCTGAAGACACTGCAGTAAATGATGGAAACTGAACTGAGTCTCACCATTGTAGCTCTGCTAGAAACTATGAATTCTTGCCCTTCAGTGTTCCAGAGTCTGTTCAGCCACTTTAGAAACAGCTGTTTTTAAAAAAATTCTTCTTTTCAAGTTTAGCATCTATTTTTCCCTCTACTTTCCCAGAATAAGCAAAAATAATGCAACTTATGTAAAAATTTAGACTGTCCCTTTCAGAAATATCTCTTCTAATGTGAACCAGTCAGTTTCAGATGGCACCACAAGATGTCAGTATGTTCACAAAGAACAAACCACAGGAAATTGTTTAAAACTATGCTGAGGCCAGTCTAAGGTTGCTTATTTCCCCTTCAGAACTCAATATTTACACAAAATCAAAGATTATGCTGAGTAGGAAAGGACTCAAAAGGTTAATCAAATCTAGCTCCAGGCCTTGCAGAGCACCACCCCCAAGAGTCACACCATATGCCTGAGACCATTGCCCAAACACTTACTGATCTGTCAGGCTGGTGCTGTGACCACTTCCCTGGAGAGCCTCTTCCAGTGCCCAACCACCCTCTGGGTAAAGAACTTTTTCCTAATAGCCTAAACCTCCTCTGACATAGCTTCAGGCCATTCCCTTGGGTCCTGTCACTGTCACCACAGAGAAGAGATCAGCACTGCCCCTCCTCTTACCCTCACGAGGAAGTTGTATCTGCAGTGAGGTCTCCCCTCAGTCTCCTCTTCTCCAGGCTGAACAGACTGAGTGAGCCCAGCCTCTCTTCACTTATACGACATGGCTTAGGAGAGCAGTTCATCCTGGAGAATTAAATATTCACATGGGAATGTGAATATTCACAAATTTGAATGTACCTGTGTTTTACTCATGGACAGAATCAAGCAATGGCCATGCTATTTTTAGGTAATTTTTAGGTATTTTTAGAATTTAGCATTTTTCCTGCCCTCTGTAGATTATTCCATGAAAGTGCTCCAAGTAAAGAGAAACCAGAAGAAGAGGTGAAAATCAGGGCTGGTGTTTATTGGAAATGCTCATGACATCTAGATTTCTGAGACATGGCCATGTATCAGATTTTATTGGTTGAACACTGGTAACATTTGACACCTATTTTGTGCCTTTGATTTAATGACCTCCATGGAATTGCTCATGAACAGACTTTCCCCATCTAACAAATAAATGCTGTTAACACACAAAGTGAGGATGGCAAAGAAACCAAGAAGTGATATTCACAAAGGGTGTACTGCCTGTACAGCACACCTGTCCAAGCTCAAGACAACTTGAGGAAGCAATAGGGATCATCTCAGACTTTATTTATGTCTTAGGCAGTCAACACATTCTCTCTCACTCGGAAGAATAATTACTAAGTTAGTAAGATCAAAGGTGACAATAAAACTTAATTATTTGCCTTGTCAAACTTGCAGAAGAGCTCTCCTCAAGTTGAACCACACACTGGACAAGCTTCCATATATATATCATTCCACTGAACATAGAACCTACACGCCCATGATAAGGAAAGCAAATCTGAAAGACAGATGTCTCAACAGGTTTAGGAGCTGTCTGAGGCTGCATGTGTTCAGCTCTACTTGTCTAGTCTGTAAGGCTGGCTAAACTTCTCTGTATTCACAGGAGGCAAGATAATATATTCCTGAATAACCTATTAGGAGCCAAATTCTGTTTGCTTTCAAGCTATTTGTTGCAATTCATACCATGTCCAAAGAGATCATGTTATCATCTACAAGAAGAACTCAGGTTTTCTCACTTAGTTGAGAAAATCTTCATGTGTTATGTAGGTGCACTGGTGGTTTCCATCAGGACTGCAGCATAGCATTCAACATCTGGTGAGTGCAGATGCTAAAATGCAGTATCTACTGAAGCACAATTGTAGCTGTACTTCACTTCTGCTCTGTGTTATTTTGAATAATGTTGTGATCCATTCAGCTAGGAAAAGATACGCATGAAATTCATGGGTCAAGAGATTGAAGATTATAGACATAGAAGAAGAGATAAGAAATAGACAGGATATAACATATTTTCAAGTTTTTGACTGAGTCTTCGGCATCTTGTTCAGTAAATCTGAGAAAATGCCCTTCAGGTCTTGATTTGTGAGCACTGTGAGTACTGTGGATAACATGCTGGCATGATGGTTTTCTCAGGCAGTGGTTAGAGAAACTTGATGAACTTTGGGAACAAGCCCTCGGGTCCAAACATTTTCTAATACAACTGAAAGAAGTGAAACTGCTACTGGTATAGAAAAAAAGTAATGCCAACACCTTCTAACACCCAAAGGGAGCAACCGTTTCCCTCCTCAGGTCCTTCTTTAATAAGATTTTTTGTCTGATGCAAGAAGAACCAAGTTGCAGACCAATACATCATGTAGACTATCTGAGTCCTGTTTTTTCTCAAGTCTGAAATACATGTCTGTATTTCTACAGTGCTTAAAACCAGACAGCCATGGTGAAATGAAGAAAATGGTGCAGTTTAACTGTGTCATGAAGAGGGTGTTGTATTGCTTCAAAATATGGAATATGCATCAGTCTCACAGAAAGCCCCTTGGAATGAGTTTCACAATATGATTTGGTTTCAAGAGCTGAAATTTCACCTGAAAAAGTGGAGTTTGCAGACAGAAAGCCCACTGTTACTTCCTCTGTTTATCGTCAAAGCACATCCTGGCATAATGAAACATTTAAGTGTTAAACTAGATGTTTGGAGCCTCTGAAAAGAAGCTGACATTTCCTTTGTCCACAGGTTCTTTCACAGCTGGATACATGTGCTGTATATCCAAGTTGCTATGAGAGCATGAGCACAGTGCTGAGAGGGAACTGTCACCTCTTCAAAGGTGCTCGGGGCAGGGAGCAATGCACCAGCCTGGGTGAAGGGAGCAGGTGGAGGTGTGAGGTGGATTTAGATCTTACTCTTGAAGTACAAGGCAGGTAAGCTATTGGCTATGATTCCTCATTGGTCACAGAAAGTAGGCATACTTTTCCAGAGACAAAGATGGATTCCTACACATGTGGATGAGAGCTTTAGGCTTCCTCACTGCTGGAGTCTGTTTTCAATTAAAGTTATTTTAATTTTAAGTCTAATTTCTTGCAGCTTTTCTGACTGCATCACTTTCAGACATTAAAATATCACAAAACATCCCAAAGTACACACCTCCAGCTTACAACAGATTTAAATTTCAGTAAATGCTCCATTTAGTTTTTGAAATAAAAATCCCTTAACAAAGAAGAAAGGCTTCTTTGGCCTCTGCAAATGAGAAAAAGCTCTTCAGTAGAAAGAGTTTAGCATTAGGACTCTTATTTATTCACTGTTCAGAGAATTTGGAAGCAGATCTGAAGAGTGCCAGATGAAGTCAGCTAAATTTGCAGCTGTCTCATTCATAATCTACACTGGGAAATGCAGGTTAAGCCACCACCTAAAAACTGACCAGGCTGTTGCAGCCTTGGTGTATTGAAGAATAGCAGAACATATCCAGAGATAAAGACAAAATTGTTGCACAAACTGAACAAATTCCTGCTTTAACAGGCAAATAAAAATGGAGAAGAATTTTATTTTATATTTTTGTATGAGAATATACCTCTTTTCTCCTACCGCAGTTTTTAGAATCAAAACACTTATGTGGAAAGCTGGTCTGAGATTTTGCTTGAAACATTGTGAGCTTGCTAGATGAATGGCACAGAAATTAACAGGGATTAGAAGCCAGTCCTTTAGAAAAATAAATAAACAAAAAAAATTTCTAAATACTTCATTAACTCATGTAATAACTCAGATGTGAAGATACCTCTAGCTATGCAACCCCCTGCATGAAGCAGGACCCATTAGAACAGGTTACTGTGTGCCTTGTGCTATCAAAGTGCTGGTGTTTCCAAGGCTGGAGGTCCTGCAATATCTCCAAGCCTATCTTCCAGTGAATAACCACCTTCAAGGTGAAAAACCTTTCTTAGTAGGTAAACCAAAATGAACCTTTTTGCAAATTATGTCCTCTTGCCTCTTGCCTGGACATAAAGTCTATCCTTCCCCTCATCTCTGCAGGCTGAACCACTCTCTGCCATCCCTCATATGGTCCATTCTCCAGCCCTAACCACTGCAAGGATCTTCTCTGGTCACCAGATAGAATATACATCTTTTTGCTTGTTCTTTAATTGGTTTCACTGTATTGTGGCTTAATGGAGGTGACACCCTGGAAAGGGTGTGAAGAAATGAAGACACACTGCTGGCTCCAAGGGGACAACATTCCATGCACTGCCATGTTGTCAGTTGACTTTGGACAGAGAACAGCTGGCGGCATTGTGAATTGATAGGAGGCACAACTTTTATACCATGAAGTCCTCAGAAGAAACTTTATTTGTAAAGATGCTAAAAATATACTTTTTCAAAGTCTGAAAGAGTCTAAAGCCTTTATGTATTTTTCAAAGATGCCTTCTCCAGGCCTCAATTTCACATGACTGTTCCATTACCTAAGCAAAACAACACTTAAAATGCTTTGGCCATGGAGAAGGCAGCATGTACAAGGATGTTCAAGCATGTTTTGGTTTATTAGTTCTGCTACAGTCACTTGAGCAGATGAATGTAAGAGGAGAAACTTGCTTTATAGTAAAGAAAGAGACCTACAGCAGTGACAAATTAATTTCCATCCTGTCATGACTCATGACTCAGCGCTACAGTAATATTAACAAAACATCAGTTAAAGTGGTAGCAATTATTTCCATTGCTAATACTGACTCTGGCTTAACAGCATTTACTGACTTTGTTACACTGTCATAAAATAAACATTAATATAGAAACTAACCAGATTCACCACTTTTGAAAGAATGGACTTTATCTCTGCCCTTGAGAGAATCGTGTGTTGTAAAGGAAGTCAGAGGTGGAGGCATGAAAACAGCTCATAAAAAATCCCAGTGAGGACTTGCACAAGGCTTTTAGCAGCATTACATTCAGTATCAGAAGGGTTGTGGCTTTTGTTTACCAGGCAGACCACAGGTGAAGGCTACAGGAGTAGGACTCATTCAGTCCAAGTCAACTCTGCAGTTTTCTATGCACCACTAAAACAGCAGACTGGTAGGAACTAGTGTCCCAACAGTTAGCTTTTCTTGTGCTGTCAGTGCCCTGGTTCTTCAGCTGTGAGGAACAGCATTATCTGCCAGAATCCATGGCTAGATGTCCTTGTGGCTTCATATTAGATTATTCAGGATCATGTATTAAAAAAGCCCAAAGAGAACATGCCTTGACAAAAAAATTGTTGCAGAAAAACACTTTCTCAGTGAAACTTTGTAATGATGAAACAAAAAGGCCCTAGACAAATTATCTTAATAGTTTTTATTTATTCCTTTTGTTGAAAATTCCCAGTATTATCCAGTTGCCAAATATTGGTTTCTTGAGCTATGGATGGGTCTTAAGACTGCATGTTCAAAATAGGGATTTAAAGCATGTAATTTCACATCACAGAACATTATTTCTTAAGGGCTGTGCTCCTCCACACGAGACAAAAATGGGGCCAAGTTTTAGTCTTCTCCATGAAATGTCTCCTACCATTGCAAGCTTGACTCCATTGGAAATGGGTATCTTAGTCTCTGGGAGTTTAACAGTAAAAATACCTGAGACCTAGTCCTGTCATTTTAGTGGAGAACATGTGCAAGGGAAGCAGGTAATTCTGCATGTGTCCTTAGACAGCATAGTGGCTCAAAAAGCAGCCCACACAGCAATAACTCATTTTCAATATAGATTTTTTTCTTTCAAAATGATCTTATAGCACAATTGAACTTCTTATCTGCTTTTCACTTGGTTGTTATCTCCCAAGCTTATCCTCAATCTTTCTTAAAGTGATCTCTAGTTCAGTAACATGCACATATCTAATATAATGCTCTTATGAGCCTCTCTTCCCAGAAATTCAGATGCCATGGCATCTAATGCCATGGCATTTCAAGACAGAAATGTCTTGATGAAAGATTGAGTTCACAATTTCAGATATGTGCCTGAAGTGCCTCATTCTCATACTTCAACCTTTGTACTTGCCACTGCCAAGGACTGTGTTTTAAAAGGAATGTAGCATTTTGTACCAAGTGAGGTTATTTTTCAGATCAGCTGATGCTTACTGCACCATCGTATCCCATTTGTCTTTCCTCAAACCTGAAAACTCCTGGCAGATGTTGTATTAATCCAAACTTAGCTCGATTTGAATGAATTTAAATAGAAGAAGATTATCCATACTCTATTCCTGTGGTTTACCAGTACTTTTAATATAATAGAGGCCTTGTATTCCAAAATTCTCCTGGGAATTAGTTAGTCCCAGGCTGCATTTTGCTTTTTAAGGCCTCACTTATTTTTCTGAGTGAGTTTAACTTGGCAATGTTCAATGATTCCTATAAATTGACTTTTAAAAAGTAATACATCTTAGATAAAATCAGGTCCTTAACACAGTATTACAGAGTGATTATCTGAAGATTGAATAAGAATCCAACTTAAAATCAGGAGGTTTCCTTAAATTTTCTTTACTTGATGGTTTTTTATATGGGGTTCTGCAGAATCAATATTTGGTGCACAGCAAAACCTACACATAAGAGGCTTCTGCTGATGACTCCTGGTAATAATACAAAATCTTGAGAAATTAATCCATATCTCTCCAAAGAAGTGGAACAAATCTTTGTAATCCTGGTTAAAAATTTATATATATATATATATATATATATATATATATATATATATATATATATATATATATATTTTTAATTCTTACAGGAGTTATATTACTTGTTTAATATGCTTGTAATGCATATAAAATTAAAAATTAGGTCTTTCACTACAAAAATGTTCTGGCACCTTGGCAGACATTTTAGAACTCTCCTTTTGTTTGGGTGTCAGGGTTTGTTCCCTGTGAGTAGTCTGTGTGTTATGTAGGATAACACTGGAGAGCCTCCTGCCCTGCAAGAGACACCAGCCCTGCATATTGGCTCCCAGGCCACCAGTTACCTGCAACAGGATGAAATCTACTAGATTTCATTTTCTAATTGCTGTTCTATTGTCCCACTTAGCACTGTGTAAGCCCTCTGGTTCTGCTGCCTCATGGTGCTGGGTACCAGTAGGGAAATGTTCCCACACCTTGAGCCACCAGGGTCGGGGATTTTCTGGCTAGATTTATTTTTCCACACTCTTGATCTAGTACTAAAAGTGGCAGCAGCTAATAAAGAGAGAAGCTACTGCTCTGGTTGCATAATTTCTTGGTTCCTGCTGGTACTCAGTGATTGATGTGGATATTTATATATTAATACCTCCATACTATAAGTTTGAACCCATACAAAGGGTTAAAGAACATTCCTTAAGCAGCAGACTGGAAGCAGACTCATGCTGCCTGCACCATAATAGCAAAAGAGTCACAAGATGTATTGTAAATTATGTCCTAATAGGCTTTCCTCTGATTTTAAGAACTCTTGCTTAGTTCCTCGGTTGATTTTTTATGCTTTTTAATTGTCCTGCAAACACCATCCTCTGAACTCTTGCTGAAAAGAAATTAGCTGCTCATCTTTTCAGTGGTGTTCAGAGTCAGTGCCTGACTTCACCTGGTGTAGGCAGCATTGCAAATACACGGTGTGCAGCCTCTCAGTGTGGCAGCCCAGGTGAGCCTGCTTCGGCTGCAAAATGCCATTCCTAACAGAGCAGGCCTGTTGGCTGCATATGCTGGTGAGATTGGGGGAATGACCCCAAATCTCTTTCTGACAAACACCACTAAGCACAGTTTTTTTTCCATTAGCACAATCCCCTTTGTATAAAACCTACTTCCAACCTACGTAGTGCCTTCATGTTTCAAGACCAAACTTGGCTTCTCCCTGCATCCCTGGTCAACTCCACATTTCTCAGGCTCCACCCTCTTCTCTGCCTATTGTGAATGGGCTTGTTCGTCACTTTTTTTATTGTTGCCTCCTTTCTTGCCACATGTAATTTGTTCTACAGTAGTGACACACCCAGTTTCATCTCTGATTACATGTGCCTCTTCCTTTCTTTCAGCGCTGATGTTGAGGCCAAGTAGTTGCAGAGTGGAAGCAAAGGAATATGTCTCATGGCACACAGACATCAAGAGAGGCTGTGCATTGTCACAGACAGGTACTACAGCCTGAGAGAGAGCAGCAGAGTCATTGCCATGAAACAGCAGGTCTCCATTAGCC